TAGTAATCCTCCTCATCGTCTTCGTCTCTCATCCTCATCGGCGTCCTCCTCCTCCTCCTCCTCCTCATCGCTTCGTATCTCCTCCTCCTCCTCCTCCTCATCGCTTCGTATCTCCTCCTCCTCCTCCTCCTCCTCATCGTCTTCATATCTCATCATCATTATCATCATCATCATCATCATTATCATCATCATCATCATCATCATCATCGTTTTCGTCTCGCATCCTCATCCTCATCGTCATCATTATCATCATCATCGTCATCATCGTGTAAATGATCGCCTGTCCATCGCCATAACCTTGACGTCTTCGTGGAAATGAAGACAACATCGTCGTCCTTGTCGTGATTATCATCCTCCTCGTCTTCATCCTCCTCATCATCATCGAATCCCGACTGTTGTGGATCGCCTCGTCGTCTTCAAGGGCAATCACTGGCGTCGCTAGTGAATGACCATCGCGGCCATCGATCGGCCTCACCCAATCAAAAGCAATGATCATTGCCATCGTCATCATCGTTGTCATACCTACCCCCATCGACCGGTACATCGCCATCGCCGTCGCCATCGCCATGGTCTTCTACGCAGCCACGTCACCCAAGCAAATCGGCGATGGTGATGACGTCAACACCATCGGCACTTTCGTCGTCAGTGCGGCGGTTCTCTGGATCATCGCCATCGCATCCATCATCGTCGTCGTTATGACGATCATTGTCATCGTCACTGTCTTTGTATATCATCGTCGTCATCGCCCCACCACTGCTGTACAAAACTCATCGTTATCGTTTGTGATGTGACCGGCCTCATGGTTTCCCATTTTTGGAAAAAAAGTTACAATTCAAAAAAAAAAAAGAAAAAAAAAGAAAATATTTATCTCCATCTTCTTCTTAGGTATCTGTCGCCCATCGCCCCAGCACCCTCATGGTCTTGTCGATGGCTATGGTGGCAATGGCAGCGATCGACAACGAAGATGATGGCGATGGGGGCGATCGCAAACGATGACGACGGCGATGGTAGCCGTCGCAAACGACGTTTAATACGTAATATGCTTTTTATATGTTTGATTTTTTTTGGTTATATTTGTTTGGGGTCGCAGATCTCTCTCTCTCTCTCTCTCTCTCTCTCTCTCTCTCGTTTTTTTTTCTCCTTATTCGGGAATCTCCTTGTTCGGTAATTGTTTGAGAATCAAGATGGGAAAAAAAAAAAAAAAAAAGACAAACGCTTGCAAAAGCCTCTCCCCTAGCAAGAGCCTTATCTGTCCGTTTGTTTTTGCATGTGCTTTTTTTTTTTAATTTTTTTTTATTAGCATGTGCTTTTTTTCTGTTCGTCTGTCTGACCCGTCCCTTTTTTTTTTTTTTTTTTTTGGGTCAAGGACGATAGCCTTGAGATATCGTCGTTGAACTGACCGACCCCAGGTAATTCAGAATTATTTTGTTCTGTTGATCTGATTGCATCTGGATTCGAAATTGGGTCCGATTCATATTTCAACAATTCATGGGTGTACCAACAGAGTTACCGGTAGGCTCGTTGGTGACACGTCCGTTTGTCTTTTTGTCACGCCTGCCTTTTTTTTTTTTTTTTTTTTTTTTTTTTTGCCCTCTTTGATGCGTCCGTTTTTTCCGCCCGTTTGTCTTGTCACATCCTGCTTCTTTTTTTTTTTGTTTTGTTTTGTTCCCCGCGCTTTGACGCTTCCATGTTTTCTGTTCGTTTGTCTGAGCAACAGGATGGAGAAGGGGTATGTTTATCCAGACACAGGAAACACCGAATCCATCCAGCCTTATGTTTCTGCCAGGGAGGGCGGTCCTCGAGGAAGGGAGTGCCGATTTCGCGAATGCAAGAGCGGCAATGGCCTCTCCGCTCGCAAAGGCCTTATTCATGATTGATGGTGAGCTGTCATTTATGAAATTATTTATTTGTTTATTTCATAAAATTATTCATTTGTTTATTTCCTAAAATTATTCGTCAACAAAAAAAAAAAATTCCAAAGGAAAAAATTGTCAGTATACCCTAGCCGGGCGATGGCACTGCCTTCTGGGCGGTCTTGCGGATGCAGACCCTCCACCCTCCCCTCCCCCCTCCTGCCCCCCCTTCTTCCTTTCTCCTCTCTGTCTGAGGCGCGGTTAATGGAGGGCCGAAAATGAATTCGCCGAAAATTTGCCGTTTTCACTGATTTTTTTCATATTATGAGAGAACTGAATACCCGATTTACCCTAAGTGTGAGGATTGAGCTCTCAAGAAGGGGCCTTGCCATGATGTACATGTTCTGGGCTAAGGCCCCAGCAAGCCTAGTGCCCGCCCTAAGTGAAGGCGGGCCAGCAAATCAACAAGAGCCCTCTGTACAAACATTTCACGAAGTGGGGTTCATACAGTTGCAGCACGCCAGTTGGTTGGAGTGCACCGAGTCTCGAATCTCTGCAAATGTGGAGATCCCAGGGCCTCTGAGTTAGTTAGGCCCTGGGCACTTGAACGTGAGGCCGACAATGCATGCTGGGGATAGAGGCCGAAAATGCCAAAGTGAAATCGGCCCACTATCTGAATCTGGCCGTCGGCCTTGACGAAAGAGGCGCAACTGCATCGCCCGGGCCCCAACTGCATCGGGCCTGGGATTCAGGCACTGGGGCCCAGTCGCAGTCTGAAGGGAGGCCGCCCACACGCAACACTGGCATATAGGCAAGCAGGGTGAGTGGGCAAGAATCTTGGCCATTGCGAGCACTGCCGGCATGCTGCGCGAACGCGAGCTGCTGTGCTGCGCTAAGGCTGAGGGAGCAGGCTAGCGCTAAATCGTTAGGGCGCTGCCTGTGTGCGCAGGGCGCTGGCAGCCATAGCTGGGCTGCCTGAGGGCGCAGGGGAGGTGAGGGCGAAGGTGGCCCTTCGGAGGTGAAGGGCGCTGTGTGGGATAACGAGGGAGAGTGTGGGTGAAGGAAGAGACGTACCTGGTGGAGGTGGAGGTCGGCATTGGTGTTGACATCATCACTCGCTGGTCGTCAAGTTGCCGGGTTGCTTTCATTGCTGTAGTTGTAGGCTTAGGCTGTAGAGTAGATAGGGCGCCTGGCGCCATTCAAGAGAGAGAGCTACATTGAGTTATGCTGTTGGTGTTGCCCTGTTGGGCTTGGACATTGACTCACGATCCATCTGTATCATTCTCAAATGGATGGTTACTCGGTTCCATTGTGCTATCTGCTCTTGCTTTGACTACTTGGACTTTAGTGTGATTTTGCAATCTGGATTTCTGTGCTTCGTCCATATTCATGTTCCTTGCATAAGGCTTGGCGGAAGAAAAATCTGAGGGACACCCACCGCCATGCAGTTTCGGCAGGACTGGACTGAAAAAGATGCCAATTTCCTCAAAAGGAAATCGAGGCCGGTGCCCTTCGAAAAAGGAAAGTGCAGCGGTGAGGCTGGTCCATGGGAGAAACCAGGTGTGTATCCCACCGCCATGCAGTTTCGGCAGGACTGGACTGAAAAAGATGCCACATTCCTGAAAAGGAAATCGAGGCTGGTGCCCTCCGAAAAAGGAAAGTGCAGTGGTGAGGCTGGTCCATGGGAGAAACCAGGTGCGTATCCCTAGGCCATGCAGTTTTGGTAGGGCTGGAAGAGACGTCATATTCCTTCCTAAAAAGGAAATCGGCGCCGGTGCCCTCCGAACCTCCGAAAAAGGAAAGTGCAGCGGTGAGGCTGGTCCATGGGAGAAACCAGGCATCGGCCCTGTGTGGCAATGTGCGCACAGTGCACCCCGGTCTGACCCAACACAAGTTTCATCAAATGCCCACCATGCCACCCCCTACCGGGCTCTGATGCCAACGGCTGGCTTCCCCCCCCTCCTCCCGTTCTATCAGGCTCGCAGCTCTGGAAAAGGGTTTGTGGGGAAAACTGCGATTTTTCCAGCCGCCGCGCGAGTGGAAATGCAGGCCACGTGTTTTCCACGCCACTTTCTGCGGGCAGTGGGGTCGCATAATTGGGTTTCCGGCAGGGAACACTGGTTTCCTGGCACCCTGGCGGAGTCCGGTGAACACCACCTGCGCCAAAAACTTTCCAGCCGCTGGGTAGAGAGATGGTTAATGGAAGATGCAAGTAATCCCGAACGAACAAAAAGAAGTACCTTCTCAGCGGGCCTGTGGGGCTGAATTGAAAAAAGGAAAAAAAAAAGAGAGTACCAAAAAAAGACTAAGAGACTGAATAAAAAAAGTAACAAAGTTTATGCAAGGAATATGGGCCTCGCCGCACCGCTCTCGAAATGTGCAAAATGAGAGTGAATCTTACGCTAGAATATGGAAAGATACACGGCCAATAGTTTTGTCTTTTGTGCATGTCAAGAGTAGTGCAGCGATGCCCTATGAGTGTGAACGATATACAGAAAACGAAGTTGTGAAATCACACAGATGTCCAAGTAGTCGTGTCCAAGCAGAGAGTACAAATGCACCGAGAAAACCATCCATATAGAGCAATGCAATGAAGTAATGAGTCAATGTCCAAGCCCGTTAGGCCACACCAACACAGAATCCAAAGTCGCTACTCTGTGTCTGGCGCCCAGCGCCCAGCCTACTCTACCCGACCGACTATCCTACCTACAGCTGTGTTCACGCAACAGGCTCACTTCGATTCTCGAAGACCAATGCACATGATGTCAACACCATAGCCGACCTCTCTTCATGCACCAGGTACGTATCTCGTCACCCTCAATCAGACCTTGATTACCCCACACTGCGCCTCCTTCCCTGAAGACCACCAAATCGCCCGCTGTACCCCCTGGTGCCCAGCAGCCCGGCTATGGCTGCCTGCGCCCCGCTGCCCTGCAGCGCCCCACCTCACCACTATGCGCCCCATCAGCACCTCGGCAGCAGCGCAGCATCAAGCGAGAGTGCAGCAGCACTTCCGCATTGCCTGCATTGGCCAGAATGCCTGGCCTGGGCTGCCTCACTTCTTTTATGTAAGTGGCAGCCTCCTGGATGCTGCGTGTGGCCTGGCTGGAAGCTTCCAGCAGCTTCCGGTTGGGCCTCAGACCCTGCGCCCAGGCCCGAGACTACAGTTGAGGGTCTGGGCCCTTTTCAGTTGGGCACGGCCTGAGTCTCCGGACTTGGGCTGTTTGCTGCATCTGTGCAGGGCGTCCAGGCAGGTGCGTAGGCAGTACTGCTTTTCCAAAGGCCGACGGCCTGCTTTCCAATGTATCGGCCCTGCTTTGTGTGTATGTGCCCCGGCGCAACTGTCAAGGCCTGGGCCAACTGTATGACGCAGCTTAGTGAGGCTCACACATCTACCCAACCAACTGGCGTGCTGCGAGCCTGAATACCCACATATGAAAATGTCAACTTTTGGCCTCTGATGAATATTCGGGCCCGCCTTCACTTAGCTTGCTGGGGGCCTTAGCCCAGAACATGTGATGTCTGATAGGGCCCCTTGAGGGCTTGTTCCTCACATTTAGAAAGAAGGTCCAAGAATTCAACCGGAATGAAATGACTGAATGAATGAATACAAGCTGTAGCTAATACCCAAGGGATCAAAGATGCATTTCCTACGGGCTCCCCAAACCACCAACCCACCACCCCAACCTAGCTCATGATAAGCCCACCAACTTCCAACTACTGTCTTCCCCCGAACACAACGCGCCCTGATAATGAACGTATGCAAGCAATGTTTCTGGTCGGGTACAGTCATAATGAGGGTGCGTTGTGTTCGGGGGAAGACGGTAGTATTTCTACAGTTAAAAAAACTACATCCGTTAAAATTGGAACGATACAGAGAAAGAAGATTAGCATGGCCCCTGCGCAAGGGAAAAAAAAAAAAAAAAAAAAAAAACTGCAGCACTTTTTTCGCCGCATCTCCACATCTCCACAAGCAATGTTGTCGAACATTCCGCTAGCAAACAATGCAGGCTCATAATACAAACATAGAACCCTAATTCGGGTGGGTTATACGCACCTGGTTTCTCCCATGCAGTGAGGCTGGTCCATGGGAGAAAGCAGGTGCGTATCCCACCTGGTTTCGCACCTGGTTTCTCCCAAAAATTGTGCTGCTTTTGATTGACCAGAAGCGGAAGCTGAGTTAGTTGCAGGCTATAACGTAGAATATTCTTCCATGTGTTTTGCTGGTTTTTTTTTATTTTTTATTTTTTTTTATTTTATTTTAATTTTAATAGGGAAGTATGCTAATGTGATATGAATGAGTAGTTTATGTACTCTTTGATTTTTGGGTGGTTGGTTGCCCATCATGAATATGGCTAGTGTTTATTGGATTCTGGGGAGTAATTGGAGTCCTCGTAGTGAAAAAGAAAGTAAAAAAAAAAAAAAGAGAAAAAGGGAAAGAAGAAGGATTTTTTGAAAAAGCTGAAAAAAAGCGTGCAACGATGACCCCGTGCACGTGGATGAATGGTACAGCGCAACATGTAACTGTTTATGTCGATCAACAGATTGCGAGTTCGAATCTTGACACGAACCAGATGATCCGATGAATACAAAAAAAAAGATTGCGAATCCAACTCCAATACTGCAATGCACTCAATCGTCCCCCCCGATTTTCCAGCTGTACAGATTAATTACAGATGACTGCAGGGCTTTTTTTTCAGTAATGGTCAGTCTGCAATACTGAAAATTGGGTTTTCTGAACTTGGTAGATCTCTTAAGTGTGTCACCAACAAGCGTGTGGCCTTGTGGTGTGACAATATCTCTCTCTGTGGGTGGAACGGTTACTTCTTTGACTGATTTAGATTGTCAGTGTGACTTTTGACAGTGTGTGTGGTGATGTGATGTACCCTGCAATGTAGTGAATGCTTGTGTCTCACTGTCTGTCTGTCTCTCTTTCTCTATTTTTTTTTTGGTTTGTGTGTGTACACGTCTGTGTGTGTCTGTGCTCTCTCTCTCTCTGTGTTTGTGTGTGTGTGTGTGTGTGTGTGTGTGTGTGTGTGTGATGATGAGTGTGTGTGTGTGTGTGTGTGTGTGTGTGTGTGTGTGTGTGTGTGTGTGTGTGTGATGACGAGTGATGATGTGTGTGTGTGAGATGACGAGTCAGTCATGGTGTGCGCATGTGTGTGGTGATGGGGTGTACTGTGGGTGTGCGAAGGCATGTGTGTGTGTGTGGGTGTGGGTGTGTGTGTGTGACAATGTGTGACAATGTGTGTGTCAGTGTGTGTGCATATGCGTGTGTGATGTGGTGATGGGGCGTACTGTGGGTGTGCGAAGGCGTGACCAGGGTGTTCTTTGGGTCGGATTTTGTGACGGTGACGAAAACCGAGGAAGCCGATTGGGCTGTCCTGAAGCCGACTGTGTTTGCCGCCATCATGGATTTCTATGCTTCCGGAGAGCCGCTGACATATGATGCGGAGACCATTGCCGCTTCCGATACTGCCATTCATGAGGTGAGAGTTGATGAAACCCTGACAAAACAGTCTATCACTCCCGCCTCCCCCCCCTCCTCCCTCTCCCCCCTCCCCCCTCCTCCTCCCCCGTCCGGTTTCGTGTCCTTCTCTCCCTTCCCTTTCTGCCTGCAGTTCCCCAGGCACTTCTGCATAATATATACCCCTCTGAGCATTTAACTTCGACGCTCCTGGCCGCAATTTCGGCGGTTTTTGGACCAATATCGTCAGGGCTTACCGGGTTCCCGCCAGGAGGACCTGATGATTTCGGTTAAAAAAACGCCGAGATCTCAGCCAGGAAGTTGATTGCCCAAAGAAGTATGAGGTTGAACCTGCTGATGAGTTGGCGAAACTCGGATGAAACAGTCTGTCGCAGCCCCCTGTTTTTTATCCTTCTGTCTCCCTTTCGGCGTATGGCTCAACAACAGGGTCAACAGGGTTCGAACCCTGGATCTTTTAGACCACCAGTACCTCCACGTCTCTTTTTCCCGACACGGAATGAACTCTGCGCCAAGAAAAAGAATGAATCGCCAACGGCACACTTTTTCTCTTTTTTTGGCTCGCGCTGCGAGCCATTTTGGTCCGATAGCGCTGTTCATCTGAAGAGCCCGCGGATTGACGCAATTCCGATTCTCAAGTTTGCTGGGCAAGTTACTGGTGGTGGTTTAACCGACAGTTGAATGTCTGTACCTTTCGAGCCTGTAGGACCAGGTACAAATAGAGCGAACCTCGCTCCTGTAGTACTGCAGTAGGACCAGGTACAGATGGAACGAACCTATCCATCTCCTGTAGTACTGCAGTAGGACCAGGTACAGATGGAGCGAACCTATCTCCTGTAGTAGTGCAGCTTTCAACAATGTGATTTTCATTAGGTGGGGCCAATACATAGCATGAGGGCGCGCGCTTGCCACTGACTCTAGGAGTCGATTCTGTGGGGATTCTGCCTGCGCTCATTCTGTGTGTGCGGATTCTCCGCCGAGTCTTTTCGTTGACTCTGCGCAGCGCTGACTCCTTTGGTGAACCTGCGCTCGAGTCTACGCGGATTCGGTTCGCCGAATGTGTGAGGAGTCTTCGCTGAGTGTGCGCTAAGTCTGTGCTGGCCTTGCAGTGGCTCTGCAGCGACTGTGATGAACATGTTGTTTTGTGAAATTACGTTGCGAGATATCATGAGCTAGGGTTGGGGTGGTTGGTGGTTTTGGGATCACGGAGAAAATGCATCTTTTGTATTAGCTACAGCTTGTATTCATTCAGTTAATTTATTTCTGTATTAGATACAGCTTGTATTCATTCAAGTCATTTCATTTCTGTATTAGCTACAGCTTGAGTTCATTCAGTCATTTCATTTCGGTTGAATTCTTGGACCGTCTTTCTAAACATTGTTACTTTGTTTATTCAGTCTTTTAGTCTTTTTTAGGTACTCTTTTTTTTTTTTTTTGAATTCAGCCCCACAGGCCCGCTGAGAAGGTTCTTCATTTCCCTTCCACTTTAGGCTATTGATGCTCTCCAAATTGGGAGCGAGGGAAGCCACGACCATGGACCCCACCACACTCTTTTAGGTACTTTTGTGGTTTGTGTGTGCTGCCTTGACTTGTACTGTGTGTACTGTTTATAACTTTATACTAGTTTATAGTTACTTCATAAAGTGTTTTTTCCCCCCCGGGAGGGGATGGACTTGGACCCCCCCTCCCGCCCCTACTCCCTGTCCTCTTTGTTTTTTTGCATTCAAATCTGAGCTAGCGTTACTCGTCTTGTCCTCGTCTGTGTGTGTGCTTTGTTGACTTCTACTGTGTAATAAAGGATGATGATGAGGTGGTGGCCATGATCAAGGAGTTGCTGGAGACTCGGATACGACCTTCAGTGAAAGAGGATGGCGGGGACATCGTGTATCGCGGATTTGACAGGTACTTTTTTTCCCATAGTCGACGCTGTGTTAACTGCTTCGGCACGATGTTTGACATCACGTTGGCTATACATAGGGTAGCCCGGTATTTGCTAGTTGACACTGCAATTAACAAGTACTTGACGACTGGTAGTCCGATATTTCCTAGGTGAGACTGCAATTAATAAGTACTTGACGACTGCGCGACCAGCCGGTGTCTGCCGGTGTCTGCCGGTGTCTGCCGGGGTGAGCCCGCAGGGCGACAGGTCCAAGAAGGTCCCGGTTACCATTCCGGGCAGCCTCAGCACAAAATGAAAAAGGAGAAATAATTCAAAAAAAAAATGGAAAGACTTTTGTTGTGCAGCATTGCAAATCAACACACACCTTTTGACTGAGGAGCATTTCAAACACTCCTCATTGAACCACCGGTCCCTCGGAGAACTGTGGAGGTTAAGCATTTGGCCCGTATGGGCCTGCCTGCACCAGGCTAAATTCGTTCGTGACGAACTGTCATGGCCCTGTAGCAATAGCTGGGAAAGGTACTCGTAGATCGGATTGCAAATATACATAAGTGAAAAGAATAAAATTTTGCCACACCCCCTTCAGACCCCTTTAAACCCCGTTTGTACCATTCAACCCCCCAAAAGTGAGACCATCAAGTTCTAAGATACGGCTGAACTTGGGGCACGTCTTGTTGATAGCAGACATGCCCCACCATGTGATTTTGACGGAAGGGAAAAAAAATCCCCCCCTCCTCTTTTGGCTTGTGCTGGAAAAACATG